GTACGACTTGTTTCATACCAACTATAGCCGTATTCCGCCATATTTCTTTCAGATACCTTGTCTCATTGTACCGATATATACCCCAAAGCGCTCGTTACAGTTGAATGATTTTTTGGTTTGGGTATCGACTTGTGCACATCTCCGATGGTAAAGCATATGAGAACACATGAGAAGATCAAGACATTTCAAAACCACAATAAACAACATAATAATCATATTTCTGAATAATTATTGATTTGAATCAAAAGAAAAAAATGCAAGTATGGTGAGACATTTAGATGCACGTCACGCGTACGTATTTTTACAGTGCGCCAATTTATGCAGAATAGACTTGAAATAAAAAGCAGTAAAATCTGCAAACACATTTTGAAATTATATCATTTGAATGGAACAAAACAACCACCGTCTTTGATTTGCAGCCCCTATGCAATTGGTGCATATCGAGAAAACGCCTCAAACGCTGTAAACGTACCCATACCTGGGAATAAGGTTACTGCATCGGTTCGAAGATATGCACAAGTCAAGTGATATACACCCTGAATTCCATTTATTGAAATGTGCATCACAAAAAAGAAATAAACTCCGTAAAAGCTCAAAAGTAAACACACTGTCATTACTCCGTACAGACTAGCAGGCCGATACACTTAGTCCGTGCTGATCAGATTTTGGTCAGGGAAAATATCACAAGTGGAAAGAGAAGTTATTTGGTATTTGCGCGGCTGAAGGGGGGGGGGGGGGGTATTATAACTGCTGTTCATAAGCTATAATTGTGAATTGTCTATCCACATGTAGTTCTAATATACATTCTATACAAAGTCATGTATATAGTCTGCAGTTGGTTTGCGTCGCAAAATTCATTTGTTAATTATAACTGATTATTTTAGTACTAATCTCAAATCTAAACCAAGTAATTTGATGTACGGTAATTATTTACTTCAAATCTTAAAAGCAATTAACCAGAATACACTTTTTTATGTGTACATAGATCTATACGTTCTTTAACACACAAACACACGAAGAAATGCCATCCCCTGTTCAGATTGACATCTAGGCATTTGATTTTTAGGCGGGGGGGGGCGTGCAAAAATAATTGACATGACCGTTATCTAAATATTCTTGGAAGACAGACATCCCTGCCGAATTCAGTTTTGAATTTTTTTAGAATGTGTCACTCCGACCACAAAGTATGTGCATTTTGAGGAATGTATAAATGTTTTATAATTATGTTGTTATAGAGAGTCTATCGAGAATTCAGTATCCCTGCCTGATAGTCTCGCTATTTTTTTTTTTTATATAAAAATAATTTGTGTAGGCGTATTTGGGAGATAATTTTAAAAGCTAGGGTAGGGATTCTTAACACTGGTTGAATACGGATAATTTTTATTTACTCTTTTGTATATTGAACTAACTCTCTCTCTCTCTCTCCCTCTCTCTCACTCTGTAACCATCCCTTAGGGCAATAATAGGTATAAGATCCTATGCACTTTCTGCTGTACCATTTATTAATCCTTAGGACAGATCAAGGATTTTTTTTTCAGGCGGGATGTCGAAACTTCATAAATTGAATAATGATTTAAATTTGGACAAGAAGTTAACCCAAACGGCCAAATTGAAAGAGAAACTAGAGGTATTGTGAGCAATGAGCTCACTAAATGATACCCCCGCCTCCCATATGGTTATAATGTCCATATTTTGCTGTTGTCGCTAAACCCAAAAATACGTGTCGGATCAAAAAGTAAAATAGGAGGTGCACAATGGTAATATGTAATAAACCTAAGATTCTGTGAAAGTTTTAGTAAATTTCACTAAGTGGTATAAGAGGATTTGCGGATAAGAGATGGGTACCCCAAAGCGTAACAGACCGACGGACGGACATAACTATTACTATATACCCTCCCACTTTTCAAGCGGGTGATGTAATAAACGTGAAATATACATCACAGGAATGGGTACATTGGGAACTTTCTCAAATACCTTCTCAAACGCATTGGCGTCGGAAGCAAATTGAAAGTGGACAGGGGGGGGGGAGGCTAAACCTACGCAGCAATGTTCAATGTCTATACTAAGTATATATTTGTAAAAAAAAAAAAAAAAAAAAAAAAAAAAAAACAACCAAACCCCGGGTCCGACACCAATGCACAAACGTACGAGTCGAACCTGAACCGGGACAACAGACAAGAGAATTTTAAAAAAGCTAATTGTAGGTAGAATGTGGATTTCTCATGGGGGGGGGGGTTGCTCTCTCTTTCTATCTGCTTTTTCTAGTAATCATTAATTACTTATGTCTAGAAATTTAATTCACATTAAATTCTGGTCAGCGCAACTTCATATAACCACTGAACAGAGTTTTGTCGAACTTTCGAGATATTTATAGGAGTCAATGTGTGTCTAGATTTGCACATCACCAGGAAATTCCGAATTCTTTATTTTTTCGGGAATTTCCGCACTTTTACATTTAGATTTTGGCCATATCTTGAATATAAAGATGAGCAGTTTGTGAGCGCAATTCCTCATAAACCGCTGCACACAATTTCGTCAGACTTTGCATATATTTAGGACACAATGTGCATAGATGTGCATATAATAAGAAGATTACGATTCTTTTATTTTTTTCTGGGAATTTCAGCACTTCGACTTTTGGGGGAGCGTGGGGTATGTTTTCATTCATTGTGCATAGAATTATAAATAACTTTAAATCAAATTATATTAGGTCTAATAAAGCCAATACACAGTATTTATTTGATAATAATTAATCATAAAGAAATCAATCTGTTTCAGACGTTTTCTTAAATTATTTTTATGAGAGTGTTAATATGCATGTTTTATTACACCCCCCCCCCCTTCCCTCCTATCACAGGAAAATATCTTCAAAAGGTGAATGATTCGTAATAATGCATGCTTTATTATAAATTTAATGAAGTTAAACCATGTAATCATAAATTATATTTGCAACATTTACAGACAAGATTAATGTTTAGTTTTGAAAAAATCACTTGCATTTTTTTTCAATCAACCCCACTGAGCTTTCAACCTTTGATATTTTCCCTGAGCAAATAAATTGATCGGCATGGGCCACGTGTGTCCAAGCATCTTTTACTGTTGAGTTAGCAATGGATTACTGAGATGCATTTTTCAATAAAAGTAAAATAGGATAATTCTTTCGACATGTGCACATCCCTGTAACGATAGCAGTATATTCAGGTAAATGTTTTATCACTGCGTTTGACGCGTTTTCTCGACCTGCATGGATTTTTGCTGTACATGAATGTATTCCGTGTTAGTGTATTTTCTATATTGCAGCAAATGCATTCAAAAATAATTTAATTCTCGGTATAGGTCTACTGTTTGGTTGAATTCTTACTTTTCAAACATGTATTTGGTCATTTTATTCAGTTTATGGACTTCTAAAAACTATGCTATCGGAGATGTGTACATGTCGACAGCCAGGCTAGAAAATCACTCAAGTGAAACAATTCTACAAGGCTATATATAGCAGGTACAGGTGGCCAAAAATCTTCGATAAATATGGCGGAATTTAAGAAATATGGCGGACAAGGGCGTACAGGAATGTAGTAAGTCGTACAAAGATGAAAACTGATGCCTTTTTAAGAGTTCATGTCAGCTTTAAGTAGTAGCCTCCTATGCACTGAAAAATAAAAATAGTTCTGGTCAAAAAAAAATATAATATATAACAAATATATATATATGATTTATGGACTAGGGAGACCAGACCTTTATATATGGCTTAAGGAGACAATATACATTTTTTTTAATTATGCATTTTTCTAAAGAGGAATACCAGATCTATGATCTATAGACCACCATTTAGCCGACTCTTGCTTCATTTTTTCATTAAACCTGCCTACTAAAAATATATGAAAAAAGTGGTCTCCCTAATATTTTATGTTTCTCTCATATGGCTTATGGAGACCAGTGTATATTTTCATAAATATAACTTCTGGCTTAAGTAGACAATTTTTCTTTCACAGTAATTTCTGTGTTTATACATTAATTAACATATTGTATCCATCTAAAATAGTTGCTGATGATCATCCGTCAAGATTAGCTGAAAGATATTTGTGCTTATGTGACTCAACATGATCAGTTAGGTTAGGTAACCTTGTATATAAAACTATAGTCCTTGTATACAAGTCTTATATAGAAAGTACAGTTTATAAGCCCAGAGTAGCTTGTTCTAATATTTACGATTAACTCTCAATGCTGTCACCCACGTATACGTAGTACAGTGGTAAGGGCCTATGCTCAAGAGTCTATGAGTAAGAAGTTGATCCTTATGTCATGTGTTTGAATTCCACTGTGGGAAACAAATATCTATATCTGTTTAAATACTTTGTGACTGAAGAATATTTCTATTTGTTTTCAGTCTCTGTGTTAACTCTTTGAAAGTTAGTGGAGTTGATTTTCTGATAATTCTACCGGAATGTAAATTAGGCAAAGCAATATAGGCCAGAAGCTAAGGAGGCCTAATATGCATGCAAATCTTGTGTGGGTCTGTCTATTGAGTTTGATGCTAAGGAAGCCTAATATGCATGTAAATCTTCTGTGCGTCTGTAAATCTCGTGCGGCTGACTTTGTGTTTGATGTCAGACGGCGGAGACTATTGACATTGACATGGGAATGGCTCGTAGAATATAAATCTTTCAGTATGTATTTCTAAAATGTAAATAAATAATTTTTCACAATTAAATGGAAATAAAAGGAATCACTGTCTAGCTAGTAGTTGTAGACTACATGTATGCCAGGGTTTCTACTAACTAGACAGTGATTCCTTAAATACGGTTGACCAGTTGAAACCATGACCACATGTTCTACATGTACAAATGTACATAAAATTTCAAGGTTATGATTAAGATTCAGTAAAAGCTACAGTGTATGCCCCATATGCATGAAGTATAGCAATATGTGGATGCCATGTTCAATATGCATATTTGCAATCATTATATAAACATGCAGAGACCAAAAAAAAAAAATCAAAATAATTCAAATGCTTAAAAATTATTTTATTTTCACTGCTTATTAAAATACAGTCACTCAAGCATACCCTTTGTTAATAAAAAAAAAGTAGTAGTTTAACATTTATTACCATACAAGATAGTGCATTCCCTACCTAATCCTGTGTTTTGACTATTTAGACTTTTATTTCATTGACAGTTCAATATACACGATATACCAGTACCATGTGCCACTAAACTAGTATAAGCTACATGGAACTTTACACTTTTTTACTTCTTAAAAACAGAATAGTAATCAAATCAAAATTGTGACACATTTACTGATTGCATGTGCTAAAAACTTTTATAAAATATCAAACAGTGTATCAAAAGAGCTTTTACAAATTGATTAATACATTCAAAGGTACAAAAATCAAATGGTTTTCATCCATACTTTTACATAAAAGATGCACTAAAATTAGTCAACTTTCAACTTAATGATAAATTGAACTTGCTTTAACAATTAATTTACATGCAAGTATACACACATGTATGCATATCCGATTTTCTAAATGAATTATTTCACAATATCAAATTTGGACTATAACAGTTTTTAATCTAGCTAGACAGCAGGAAATTATCATTCTTACTTAAATTTCATGAAATAATTGAAGTATGCGAGCTACAAATTATATCTAAAGATTGTACTAAAGTGTTTATTGTATTTATTATACACAACTGATGACTTCGTAAGACATACCAGTTAAGTCCAGATTTCAGCTCAAAGGCTTCAAAATTTCTAGTGGATCTTTCTCTCATCAATTTTTTCACTGAATATTTTCAGTTTTTTTTTCAAGACACTGTTTTTTGTCAAGGCCTGTAAGCAGTATGATGCAATCCAAGAACTCCTAGGGCAATTTTAGAACTGAATTTCTCTCTTACCTGGCACAAATAAAAGTTTTAAATTTCAAAATACATTAAACTTACATGAAGAAAACTAATAAAAATAGTGATAATTGTAATAGAACTTTCAGATGTTTGGAAGCAACTTCATGTACCTAATTTTAAGAAAATTAAAGATTGAAGTATATAGAGTCACCTGTATTCTTGAGGAATGTATATGTAGCCTGCTATGTAGCTTCATTAAAGAGATAAATAAATCTAAGAGTGGCCAGCTTTTAAATTAAAATTAGCATTGAGCTTTGGAGGTTCATGCATTTGTCTGCAAGGAAAAAAAAAGGATCAAATGGAAAAGAATGGGATAGAATTAGGCAATCAAATGAATAATTAAATTGAAATTATGAGGAATAACTATTTATCATTTTATAAAATACACATGTAGGTGCTTCCAAAAATCCTCAGAAAGAAAGGGTTTCAAAGTATAGTATTGTGAGCTTATAAACATGTATAAATGCTAATTAAATTCTCTCAAAATTTCAAAGCCATAAGTTAAAACAAACTGTACGGAATATTTTTTGTAAAGAAAGGCAAGTCAAATAAATTGTAATAATAGCATATATCATGTTCAGTGACAATCAGTGCACGTGCTAAATAAAAATGCCATTGGACTTAACGCTTTCCTCTTAATTAAATGACCAAATTTATCGGCAATATTTTTGCAAAGTAGGTCAAAGGTCATGGGGTCAGTAACCATGGTAATTTACAAAAGCCTTAGTGCCAAGAAATATATTTGCAAAATATCAAAACCATACCTCTTACAGTTCTGGAGATGTAAAGTGTGACAGACGGACAGACAGGCACCAAGTAAAGCATCTCTAAGTGTCGTTCTGCTCTGAAAGTGACACAAAAATGAAAGTTAGTCAATTTTTGACCATTCATATAACTTCAGTGACAAAAGGTACACTAGAGTGGTAAGTTTATCCTAATTATTTGAAAATATGTCAACACCATTGGTCTGAATATAAGCAAACAAACAAAAGAAATAGCAATTCACTAACTGTAAAACATTGAACTCAAATTTTAATCAGTGAAACCAGAATAAAAATCTTATATATATCAAAATTTCATATAAGGAGGATATGGAGATAACATTAACAGTATTCAATATCAAAGTCCATAAAACAATACAAAATAGGAGCAGAGCAAACAAAGACTTCTGAAACATCAGAGGTGGAATCAGGTGCCAAGGAGGAGTGAGCATCCCCTGCAATGACCGGTCACACCCGTCGTGTGCTCATCGTCATGATCGTGAAAAAACGGAAACATCCGTCGTCAATTCAGTGTATAAATAATGGACTAACAATTGGTATGAAAAACAAAATCAGTCAGCATTTGACTCAATGATAAGTTGTATTTTCTGACAAGGTCATGGTATTGACCATGAAAAAGAACTTACAAAATGATGACATTGTATTTAAACAAAAGACTAAATGAGATATTCTTGTTTCATTAACTTGTTTGTCAATAATTTACCTCGCTTTAGAAATTGTTCAAATAGCATTTAAGAAACAGACAATTGGTTTCATGATTTTCAAGTGTCATTGGAATTGAGTTTGATTAAAATGACATTGTCAAATGTGTAACCGGCACACAGAGATGTAATTAATTGTTTTGGATATGGTTTATATACACCAAAGATGGGAAAGAATAGTACAGAAGTGATATTACACACTATATTTTAATAAAGAAGTTATTTTTAAATGTCTTGAAATTCAATGAGAGTTTCTCCTCTATACCAAAAATAGTTAAAGTATGTATACTAAGAATAAGAGAACAGTTTTTTTAAATGCAGGCAATGGGGAACAATCTGTGCTACGAATGACATCAAACAATGTGTTTTTTCTGCTGTGTGCAATGTTCGACTAAATTTTGACTTAAATTTGAATTTGCTTGAAAAAAAAATAAACAAGAAAAAAATAACAGACAGTTGTTATTTTAAATAAGTTCCCTAGTGAAGAGTGGTCTTTCACTTTAAAAAAAATATCATTTAATGTTAACAGACGCTTGTGAAGCAGATAAAGGAAGAGAGAGGAAAATTACGCTTCCTTTCGTGCCCCGATGTACACTTAAACATGCTTTCTTTATTCTTACATAATTTTCTTATTAAACGCGATATCATGAAACTTGAAATGCATGATCAAAAATGTTACTTCTTGCAATGACAAGGAAAGAAATTTAATTAATCTAGCAAAATGAAACTGAACTAATTTCCCTGTCTATGACTTTCTGTGACAAATCTTGTAGTATATTACAGGGCTTGAAATGCAATTTTTCCTACTAAAAAAATTAGTTGGGAGTATAATTTAATCATTGGATGAAGACATTAGGTCTCGGCAACACTTGTGCCGGGTTTGCTACGGTTCTATTCTGCAGGTTTGTTGATACAAGCTATCATTACTTGTATCTCCATGTGGCTTACAAAGAAAAAAAAATCAATGTAAACTCAAGATAAAAATGCACCTATGACAAGTAAAAATAATTGCCATTTGAAGTGCAAATTGTAATGGACCTGCAGAACGTATTTTGTTTGACATTTTGCCGTGATAATGTATGCTTTGGTGAATTTTTCTTTGCTGGGCCCCAATACACATCAGGTCAACATTTTTACTTAATTCTGTTAAATTTGTCTGAATGCAGATTGAAATGTAAAAGATTATTAATTCATCAAAGAGTAATGATATTTTGCTTTTGAGAAAATTTTGTTTTTACCTCATATTCCATTATGATTGTAAGTCCCAAAGTGTAGACATGTGTTGTTTTAGGATCCACGTTATACAAGTAAATAGGTATGACCCTTGATTTTCTGGCAGATTCTAATTTTGTTAACTTTGTAATTGTATAGGGTGAGAGTATTACATATTTAGCTAATTCGAATTAAATTTTGAGTAATTGTATAGCGTGAGAGTATTAATGTTTCTAACACTGCTGACTTCAACTTTCTTCCTTACTCCTTAAATTTTATATTGGGTATATTTGAATGAAAAAGCACACAATATGCAGCCGAACAGTCGCTTTAACACTGAGTTCATGGACTTTTGCAAGAAGCACAGACTTTTACAGTTGACAGTATACTTGGACATTTAAATCTGTTTCATGTACATACATGTAGGTACAGAATTGTTAATAGATAAGAAAACCTTTAACCCCCTTCCCCACAGTCACACATTTTAACGCATAAACCATTTCCTATTTCTGACGCAAAATCATACATAAACCATTTCCTGCAATTGTGCATGTGCATTTTCATGCACTTTGAAAAGGTAACGTCATATTTCTATGACATGAACATTAAATGTACAGTCTGTATGTTGTGTCACAGTTCAGTAAGTTGTAAAGATTTGAAATAGTCATAGCTATGGTGTGAGGGGGACTTACATGTGAAGGCCGGGTGTTGAGGGTACAGTGGTTGTTGTTTTCTTTAAACACAACTTATATGTGCACTGAAAAAAAAAATATTTTTGTTAATTAAATGTTGGACTAAATTTTATATTTTTAAAGAGCTTCCATACATTGTGTAAAAGAAAGCCATCAACTGTATAAGTCAGCGATCCTCATAAAAGTCTAGAAGCCTGGGTGGCATAGTGTTAGAGCGTCTGCTCTTGAGTCAAGAAATAAGGATTTGATCCTTATGTGGCAGATTTGATTCCCACTATGGAACACAGAGACTGATCCTTCAGATGAGACCGATGTAAAAATCAAGGTCCCATGTCGCAGTAGGTGCCGGCATATAGGTAAAAATTTGTAGCTCTTCATCGGCAAGTTGTGGTGTCTTCATACGAGTATAAAATTCTTGATAGGGACTGTAGTTTTCCTGTAATAATTGACCGAAATCCTACTAGTCTACAATGTATAAACTCTGCATTCTTGACCTGGGTATATGAGTGAAAAATTCTTGAGAGGGACATTAAACAACATACATTCAATCAATCTTGATCTGTAGATTGTCAAATAGGAAATTTCTGGTTTGTCAAGCTAAAGATTAGTAATTAATAAAACTGTAAATGAGTTTGTTTTTTTTTTCATTTTACCTGAGATGTCTTTTGCTTTTCTTTAAAGTGTCAGTATTTGACTGTTGATTTCACCCATCTTAGGAAAATGATCTGTAATAGTAATAAATTGTAAGAAATCATAATCTGTTCTCCATCCACTATAATCATGAAATAAAATCAGCAGTGATATCAAAGGCTTTTTTCAATAATCAAGTGAAAATCATAAAAGTACTGTATACACATGATACAGGGAAATTTTCGCCCCCGTTTTATTTTTGCCCCTTTTGCCCTACTCTCATTTGGGCGAATTCATAGAATACAGTATAATTTCTTAAACAAAACTTTGACTGGGCGAATTTAAAAGGGGGCAAAATTGTTTGCAAGTGTGAAAGGGCGAAAATAACACAGGGCGAAAATAACCCTGTATACAGTATTAGCCAAAAAGGAAAAAAATAAATGTCACTATAATAATCAACCTTCAGTTGCATATCTCTACAATTTTCTGAGAAGACAATTATACCTGAAAGATGCTGTGTAATCCCCCTTTTCAATAAAAGAAATTACCTTATGATGATGTATTAAGTTCCTGTGAACAAAGCTGTACTTTTTCACCCATTGTCTTTATATATTGGACAAGTTTTAACACAGATTCAATCTACAAAAAGAAAAAAAAAATAACAAACTTAGATACAAAGCATTCATGAGGTATCATGATATACTAGTACACAGATAAATCATAATGATTTTTCTTTTACTATGTTCAGTTTTCTGAATCAACAGCAAAGTTTTGAACAATTCCTTGTAAAATTTTTACATTTAAACCAATATCAGCAATGCAGACATTTAAAAACTGAAATATATGCCAATCTAATTAAAATTAGACTTCATGTTTATATCTGCTCATATTACTTGCTACACTAATATCTAACAACATCCCATAAAAGGTTAAGTCAGAGGTCAAATTCCCTCAACCAATCATATAATGTCGCCTTCAAAATCATTGTATATCTGTTGATCCAAATCAGTTGTTCTAAATTTGACCTCTGACTTTACCCTCTTTGGGATGTCAAATGTTAGTGTTGTGAGTATGGGAAAGGATCTATTATCTAATTTTAATTAGATTGGCATTTATGCATATGTGGTCCTTGTAAAATGTATATTGGCAAGGATTATAACCGTGGCTTGTATGCATTAGATTTTCAAAGATTCTCATGTATTTCCATAATACTAGGGCTGTCACGGTTAACCGAAAACTCGGTTAACCGCTCCGAAATGGCATTCGGTTCGGTTCAAATACCAAATCATTTTAAAAGATTTAAATTCGGTTCGGCAATCTATGCATTTTTTTTTTTTATCTTTTATATAATACTAATTTGCTTGCAACACGCTTTGTGATTGGTTGTTTATTTCAATGAAGGGTTCTTTAACCAATGAAAATACAGGTAACATCGAAGACATTTAAACATGGCATACACATGTGGAAGGAAAACCAAATCACAAGTAGTTGTTTTGTCAACCACGTCCCCTACTTTCAAAAACGTGAAATATTCCCACACTTGTGATTTGGTGATAATTCTAGTCAATAACTATTTATTTTATTTTATTTTAAACAAGAAGTTTATTACTTTGTTATTTTTTGTTACATTTAACAACTTGTTCTGTTGAATAAAATGGATAGAAATTTGTGTCAGCAGTACTTTCTACAATGTCCTTAATCCTTATTATCCTTTGATATATATAAAGATGTTTTATTTAAATTCTCAAAATGAAAACCGAACCGAAAAAACCGAAAACCGAGAATTTATTTTCTGAACCAAACTGAACCGAAAAATGTCTGAACCGTGGCAGCCCTACATAATACCCCTCTTCATAACAAATATATCCTATGGTTTTCTTTCAATAAAGTTAATTTTCTGTGTGAGAACTAAAACACATGTTTTCAACTGTTAAATCAGCATTAACGGTCGCAAATACCAAATTAAATTTTAAAGATAATTATTCCAATTCTAATGCAATCTATGCATTTGTTTGTTGTTTCTGTCTTGTTTTGTTACATTAAATACATCACGGAGCATTGTGTTTTTGGGTTGCTCTCTTATGAAGTCACAATGAAAAGCTTTCTCTCTCGTTCATGCTTGTTTTACTGCTTCAAACATCAGTGCATTAGCCAATCAAAACGTGTCAGATATGCAGATTTACATGCATACATGTACATGTACTTGTCTTTATTCCATATATGCAAATATGGAAAATATGCAAAAAAGATATGGAAATAACAAGTTACAAATACTTATACTAGTTCCTGTTGAGTATATTGCAAAAGCAGGTATTTTGAGGTCTAAAGAAAAATCATCTGCATAACCAGCTACTTGAACTGAAAAGTAGGCGAGTACCCGGTTACTAAAAATCATCTGATTTGACAACACTAATCGTAGGTCAACTCATACATTTAACTAGAAGTGCTCCCTTGTTATATTATATTTTACTTATTTTCTACAGACTTACTATACCCTGTAAAAAAGAATAGAGAACAGAGAAAATTTGTTTAAATGACCAGAACTACATGTACAGAGATTAATCCAGTCTTCGCCAAATCTTTTTTTTCAGCACATGCCCTTCGGGCAGGTGTGATCACCAATTACGCAAGCCCGAACAAATATTTACATGCCCAGAATTTTATCAAGTTATTTTATTCTTATTTGCCTTTTCATGCCAAGGAAATAATCTGAAAATCAATTTTGTCAATTTCTTGTCTCGCCATTTGTTTTCAACCTGTACACTTTTTGTGTCTCTTTTGCAGAAGAGTTCCTTGGAAATCGTGGTAAAATGAGATGTCGGTAAATTTTTTTGGTATTATTTCACTTAGACGGAAAATCAAAGACTTTAAAATACATTTAATGTTATTGGTCTTATTTAAATTTATTATACCAAGGCTTATGCCTTAGAATTAACATGCCCTTCGGGCTTTTAAGTGTACAATTTCCACATGCCCGCTTCCAATTTTACCAGGTCCCGGGCATCGGACTCCCGGGATTTGTCAAAGACTGTTAATCCCTACCTCAAAAACAGACTGCCATGGGCAGTCAGTAATTTCCAACTCTTGCTAAACATACTAATTGTCCAAAATTTACAAATTAATGCTTAATGCATATATAATATATTAACATTCTTAAATTCATGATTCGTACATGTAGATTGAGACAGATGATAAAATCATTTCTAATTTTATTATTCATGATAATTTGGCTGTTGACTTGTGTGCTTGAATTGAAAGAACCACTATCAGTCAGAGAAAATTTTGATTTTCACATATCATACATAGTTAAATTTACATAATATACATTATGCATAAGGGAGACCAAATATATTATTACTGCATTAAGGAGACCAACTACTATCCACTCGCAAATCAGCATTCAAAACTTCAGATATATTTCAGATATATTTCAATACCCTAGTTAATTACATGCTTACAATTACAAATTTATGAGGGACATTAAACAACAAAGAAACAAACAAAAATGCATGTCAGTCTTTAAATTTTTATAATACAAGTATATTGTATGCATAAGGGAGACCAAATGTATTATTACTGAATTTAAGAGACCAATCCACATGTAAATCAGTATTCAAAACTTGAGATTTAATACTCTAGTAAGTTATATGTTTTGTTAAATAAACTAAATATAAGAGGGACATTAAACAACAAACAAAAATACATGTTGATCTTTAAATTTGTATAGTACAGTAATTTACTTTGAATTGTTTGTATTTAGATGACCTTAATCAATTTATCTCAGCCAGAATTAAAACAAAAAAAGCTAATCACACAACATAAAGGGGATATTAGTTTGTTCAAATGAAGGGTCATGCCCTCTTTCAAGGGGAGATAATCAAGAAAAGACAAAAATAGGGTGGGATCATTAAAACATCTTCTCACAGTCAGGGGCTCAACTTAAACAAGTTATTTTCAAAAATAACTCAAATGAGTTATATTTTGGTCTCAATGAGTTTTTTCTCTTTGCTATGACCTACAGACCCTAAACTGTGCTACTACACCACTTGAACGGTACGATTTGGTACGCTTCGTGCACGGAACGGTACCCTTTGTGAACAGAACGGTTTGTTTTGTGAACGGTACGGTACGCTTTGTGGATGGTACGGTACGCTTTGTGGACAGTACGTTTCGTTTCTTGCATGGAACGGTTCTTTTTGTGAACCTTTGGGAAACGGTATGCAAATGAAGTGGGCGGAGCCTGTTAGCCTTAATTCTTGATTGGTTGCTAAAAATTAATTCATTTTAAATGACTTTTGAAGTACTTAATGCATGTATATAATTATATTTCCACTATTAACAAATTAATATCTTGGTTTCAATTTAAACATAAATTTACACTACAGCGGTGATGGAAGAAAAATGAAAAAAAAAAATGAAAGAAAAAACATCATCCCACCGATGTCTTTGGCATTATGTATAGATATGTATTAATACTTAAAATAAAGAAGAAAAACACGAAAAACTTCAGTAAAGCTTTAGGCCTTTCATTCTATCTTCAGAAGCTTTACAAAAATTTTGTAAAGCTTCTGAAGATAGAATGAAAGGCCTAAAGCTTTACTGAAGTTTTTCGTGTTTTTCTTTTATATTTTAAGTATTTAATTCCGACCACTGAGACTTTTTATTGGATTATCTATATGTATTAATATATATAGAACTCGTAAATATTTCCGTACTTATTTTTTATGTATGCTGAACCTTCATTTTAAAAAGGAAAAAAAAATTAAATGAAATATTTTTTCACTTTAAAATGGCGGATCCGGGTTAGAATAGGTCCTCAGTACCCCCTTGCTTGTCATAAAATGCGACTAAATGGGGCGGTCCTTCAGATGAGACCGTATAAACCGAGGCCCCGTGTCACAGCAGGTGTGGCACGATAAAGATCCCACCCTGCTCAAAGGCCGTAAGTGCCGAGCATAGGCTTAACTTTGCAGCCCTTTACCGGCAATGGTGACGTCTCCATATCAGTGAAATATTCTGGAGAGGGACATTAAACAGTATACAATCAATCAATCAATCACTTTAAAATAAAGTTGTAACATAATTAAAAGGAATTAATATAATACCGGGTATATACTTGTTCTATACGCACATATATAAATTATTTCTAATTAATTGATCTAAAGAAATAAATATGACTATTTCTGCTTTATTTTTTTTCCTAGTAATTAGATATGCACATTGTTTTTTTATTTTCAAAAATTGTAGATCTATCGTTTAAACATTTGCTTCAGAAGAGAAATATCAGTAAACAAAATAGATATGAAAATCAGAGTAGAAACACGAAATCAATACAATTACTTCCGAGCACTTTCTCGTAACAGAAAGCATTCTTTTCACAGACAAGTATTTATGTTTTCAATAATCCTTTCAGTGTATTAAGTAATTATTTTAATACGTTTTTCTTTATTTTATTAAGTTATTCTATTCCTGTAAAGCCTGTAAAAATGATGTGAATGAGAGAGAGAGAGAGAGAAAAGGGGGATAGAGAGATCCAACCCCTTAATACATTATCTGTAAAAAAAAAATGATTTGTATTCATTCTCCTTCTTCATTTTATTTACATCGCCAAAGTCACAATTAATCAGTCTATGATGCTTTTTAATCAACCCATTTACAACTATTATGCAATGAATAATCCGTTCTCTGTACATGCATGCTGCACGCATGAAATCCTTGTGCATCACCTGTCAATCAAAATGGCATGATGCTAAGAGACCCTGAAAGTCTGTTTACGTAGGAAGAATTTCTCCTGTGATTTGAAACATTCTTATGGTCAGTTCATAGTTCACACCAGTTTAAAAAAATTTATTGGGTCACAGCCGGAGGGATGGGGGCACCGTGTGTTTAACACACCTTTCAAATTATTTAGTTCTGACCACATCAATTGTTTTTAATCACTCAACTGACATCCAGCAAACTCATCTTCCAGGTTTCACCACAACACTGATTACAAATTTACTTCCTAAATTATCCTTTTTCAGACAAAAATAAATAAGCATGTATCCCTAAATTATAATTTTCTTTTTTTACAAAAGCACAATTTAAAGTCACATAAATTCACATAAGTATCGCCTTCTAGAGGTGGGGGGGGGGGGGGTTAACAAACATAATATGGCTTGAAAGAGGATTGATATTTTTTTTTAATTTCATTTTATATAGTAAATTATCTTTTTACAGACACTAATAAGGATGTTTCCTGTAGATCATGATTTAATTTTTAATTTACGACAATGTACCATTTTGCAGACTTCTAAACAACTTTTAACCAGCTAATTCGTATTGCTTTCTAGAAAGGGGATGGGGGTACAGTGTAACAAATCTTATAATATCGTTATTTTTTCGCAAACTGGTTTTTTTTTCTTCATTTTTCATAAGGTGTATTTCAGAATGAAGTAATATTTATACTGCAGTTTGCACATTTTTTTCTGCAAGAAATTCAGCTGGCGATTTTTGTATGCAGCATGAAAGTTGATCAGTTTTATTAGTAAGATTATCATCTCTGTCTGTTCAATAGAAATCTTCATGTTTACCGCATGTAATATTTTAATCCATATTTTACATGATTACAGATTTTCAGTGTAAGTATAACTGCACCAGTGATTCGCCTATAGTAAAAATCTTAACAGAATTAATGTGATAGTCTAATACGGTTCTTTTTTAAATTTTACTCTAGACAGTTTGTATATGTTTTTAAATTCTTACAAAATAATTCATTAGTTAAATCATGCATCTGATATGTACTAATATGAATGCATACTTACGACAAAAACGATCTTGTATCCGATTTAATAATTTAAATGAGCAAAATCAAAATCTAAAGTAGAGACAACCAGGGAATTAATTAATGAAAGCGTGTTCTATCTTAGTTGTATTATAGTCTATTGAACCTATTTTTATATCAAATATAATTATAGGATTATGAAACATGAGTGTGCATGTACACATTTAAAGAGGGATTTTCCCCGGGCACGAGCACGATTATATTGAATTTTGGGGCATCTTATAATATTAGTTTAAATATCTGTATAGTTAAATTACAAATATTTAAATACAACTAATATTTCAAAAGGAAATTGATTTAATTTGCTAATATAAAGAAAATGAAAGACTTCAAATACGCCGACATTGTTCAAGGTCCACTGTGCCCCGTACGTGTTTTGCGGGAAAACTCATGGCCTGTACTGTACCTTTGACCACAAACACAACCAGTTGATATAATTTATAGCAAATAAGGAATCGTCTCATACTCTGTCTAGTTGTTTTGAAGTAGTAGTTTGCTTCGAGTAGTTTCCTTATTTTTAAAGTTGAGGGCCCAGACGCTTGATACTTGATAATGGTGTTTCGAACAGGCAGACACAATCACTTTGTGCACGGAATTGTAGTCGGTGCACTCCATCTAGTATTACATAATGGAATCCCAAAATGCAATGCATATTGGCAGGAATCACAAAATTTCCAAGAAATCAATGTCCAAGTAGGATATACAAATAACTACACTGTAAAAAATGTGTTTAGATGATAGACACTTTCCTAAGCACTTTCTTGTCACACTTTTTGGGATGCGTTGAAATTCTAAACACATTGAATTTCATTACGTGTAACGGAAAGTGTTTAGAGCCAAAACACTTACATGTTTAGACTTTAAACATGTTAAACACTTTACAAAACATGTTATGATACATGTTTACAAATTAAACACTTGGATGTTTTCGTTGTCTCCCTGCAAGAAAACTTAAAAAATAACAATTGTTTACATTTTAAATTTTATTCAATGAACATTAAAGCATGGATTTTTTATAAAGAATTTTAAATTAAATATACATTATATTTTTACACGCTGGTTTTAATTCTAACCAGATTAGCAAGCAGTTATTCCTCATGTCTGTATCAAGTTTAACTTCCAGCAATTTTTCACTGAGCAACACACGCATAATTTGTTTTCATCTGTGACCGTCAGTAGGTAATCCACTTGTTATTATTTGAGAATATTTTAGGTTGTTGAAAGCTATAACGAACAGCAGACTTCACAAAACTCAGTTTCCCCTAGAAAGTAAGAAGTGTGGACTTGGAGAGTCAGTTTCTCTGATGCGTGTATTTCTGCTTTCAAGTTCGATGTGGACCATATCCTGTAAGAAAGAAATTCAAAATTTATCAAAATATTCTCCTCACTGGCTGGATTTGTATTACTTTTTTGTTTACATGTTTGATAGCTATTATTGTTTTACTTTCATTGAACCTCGTCTATATAACCACTACAGTATTTAGTTTGATACTGTTATAGATATTATTGATATTACTTAGACAGTTTATATATGTTTTAAAATTCTTACAAAATAATTCATTAGTTAAATCATGCATCTGATATGTACTAATATGAATGCATACTTAGGACAAAAATTTATGCTAATCTTCTAATTAATTTCTTAGTTGTATTATACTATTGCCGACAAATATAATTGTTCAAGGTATGTGTATTTGCGGGTTATATAATGTACTCCTTTCTAGATTTCAGGAATGCAATATATAACCAAAGTTAATCTTGATCTACAACTACATGTGCAAACGCATGTCTATTTACGTAGCCCATCGTGGTCAATTTATGTAAAATAAAAATAATAGTTAACATACCTTTTATCGCAGTAATGTTGCAGTTTAAATGCATTTCACAATCTCTTCATGGTTATCACTTTGATTAGCATTCACTTCCTTTAATCCATCTTCTTTAGCTAACATTGGGATTTCCTTTGTTTCGATAACCGCTCTATTTATCATTCGAATATATATGCGTCATTTCCGGGAAGATAACTCTGTACTTCACAGAAAAGTGTTCAATTTCTAAACACTTATATCTAAACATGTGTTAAATCTTAACATCATTTAGATATAACACACGTTTAGACATAAGTGTTTAGCCGTTAAACACAATCTAACACACGTTTAGACCTAAGTGTTTGGCCGTTAAACACAATCTTATACATGTTTAGGTCAAAACACGTAATGGAAGTGTTTATTTTCTAAGCGCATTTTTTACAGTGTAATTTAAGTTTTTTTTTTTTAAATTTGTGTGTGTAAAATAACTTATTTAAATTATTTTTTTTATAACTTGTTTGAGTTATGCCCCTGACTACAAGTGGGCAAACACATGAACAGAAAGATGGATATGATGATTCCTATGCACATGTATACACCCATGCTTATAAACAAACAATATACACTAGTATCACACTTAAATTCAATATGTGCAACCTCTGTGAAGAAATTGAAGCAAAACTAAAAGTGGACCACCAAACCGATTGACAGAAAGCAGCAAAGCAATATGCCCTCCCTTCTTTGAAAGGGATGCGAGCATAATTATATGTGTACTTCTAACTGAATTAAAAACAAAATTACCCTTTGTCAGAGTATAGATTAGCAGGAAGGCTGTTTTTCCGCATTTTTCCATGTTAGATTCTGACTATTCTTCAAAAGATTCTGGCATATACCCCTGTAAGAGTAAACAGTGAAGATAATAAAGAGCACCTAATTCGACATGATCAACTGCATATTTTTTTTAAAAGATCAACTTAAAAGGGATAGAAAACAGAGAAAATTTGTTTAAATGACCAGGACTACATGTAGAGAGATTAATCCCTACCTCAAAAACAGGCTGCCATGGGCAGTCAGTAATTTCCAACTCTGATATGAGATGCTAAACATACTAATTGTCCAGAATTTACAATTTAATGTTTAATGCATATATACTGTAGATTGGCAAATATTCACGATGGTTTTAATTTCACTATGTTCGTGATCTATCATTTTTTCGCGAAATTAAACCCATCGTGAATGTTATCATTAGTTGTTAAAAGCGTTTAAATGCTTATACAAAATTTGAATTAATATCTTAAAGTGTGAAATTAAAACCATCGGAATTGGTACTATTTGAGATATCATGAAATTTTAACATCGCGGAATTAAAACGATTTACAGTAATATGTAGACATTCTTAAATTTCATGATTTGTACATGTAGATTGAGACAGATGATAAATACATTTCTAATTCTATATTTTGTCTGTTGTATGCTTGAATTGAAAGAACATTGACAACAAGCATCATTCAGAGTAAATTTGGATTTTCACATATTATACATAATTAAATTTGCATAATATACATTATGCATAAGGGAGACCAAATATATTATTACTGCATTAAGGAGACCATTTACTATCCACTCGCAAATCAGCATTCAAAACTTCAGATATATTTTAATACCCTAGTTTATTACATGCTTTATTACAGTAACTAAATCTAAGAGTGACATTAAACAACAAAGAAACAAACAAAAATACATGCCAGTCTTTAAATTTATATGATACAAGTATATTGTATGCATAAGGGAGACCAAATGTATTATTACTGAATTTACGAGACCAACTTAAATTCACATGTAAATCAGTATTCAAAACTTGAGATTTTTATATTCATATGAAGCAGAATTTATGCAAAATCTAATGCGTGAAAAGAAAAAAACACTTGCTGTGGCCTTCAACTTGACCTTCAGATATATCGACAACATGTCAATTAACAATGGTAATTTCTATGTCGATACGATATATTCAGGAGAGCTAATGAGATAAAAGAAACCACACTCTCTGACACATCTGTTTCTTACTTGGATATTTTACTTGAAAAAGACAATAATCACTGTTAATGATATCCTAACAACCTAGTTATATGATAAACATGACGACTTTAACTTTTGTTTCATCAGCAATATACCTTCATCACCTGCATATGGAGTGTATATATCTCAGTTGATTCGATACGCAAAAGCATGCTCTACATACGAACAATTTCTAAAACGAAGTAAATTATTGACAAGCAAGTTCAAGTTGATGAAACAAGAATATCAGCATTCTTGTTTAAAGTCATTATTTTGTAAGTTCTATAGTTGATACAATGACCTTGTCTGCAAATACAATTTATCATTGAGTCAAATGCTGACTGACATTTTTCATACCAATTGTTCGTCCATTATTTATAACCTGAATTGACGACAAATTTTCCGTTATTTCACTATCATGACAATGAGCAAACATCGGGTGTGACCGGTCAGCAGGGAACGGGTGTGACCGGTCAGCAGGGAATGCTCACTTCTCCATGGCACCTGATTCCACCTCTGATGTTTCAGAAGTCTGTGTTTGCTCTGCTCTTATTTTGTGTTGTTTATGGACTTCGATATTGAATACTGTTCGTTATCTCCATATCCTTCTTTTTATACTCTAGTAAGTTATATGTTTTGTTAAATAAACAAAAATAAGAGGGACATTAAACAACAAACAAAAACACAAACAAAAATACATGTTGATCTTTAAATTTATATAATATACTGTATGCATAAGGGAGACCAAATGTATTATAACTGCATTTAGGAGACCAACTACTTTCTACATGTAAATCAGTATTCAAAACTTGAGATTTTAATACACTAGAACATGTAGAAAGTTAAATGTTTTGTTAAATAAACTAAATATAAAAGGGAAATTAAACAACAAACAAAAATACATGTAGATCTTTAAATTTATATAATACAGTACAGGCAACACGGATCCCGTATTAGACCGCGTCCCCTCCGCGGTGTATTAATCCTTTCCGCGTTACACCGTCGCGGGTTTTGATCGCGGTGCTACCTGAGACTGTGTTTACACCGCGGCGGGGCCAGCTACCGTTATTCTTCAGCTTAGATGTTCTTACCTGTAAAGTATTGTCGATTTTTAATCGTGTCGAAATGATGGGGGGAGGGGGGGGGGGGGGGGGGGGGGGAGAGGATTACGACCACATTAATATTAATAGATTTATACCATTACATGGATTCTTTAAAAATTCATTTTTAAGTTTTATCAAATTCTTTAATAAAAAAAAAAACGTCTTTCTTTTTTTTTCTTACCAAAGGTCACTCAAAAATAATTAATTCTCTAAAACGTCTGTTAACAGTAATACATGTACAGTATAGGATAAAATAAAGTCGAATAATTTATCGAATATATTAACTTAAAGTTTATTTTCAAAATCAATAATGCCACCCCAAATGATCTTCAATTGCTAAAAAGGTATAATTAAAATTTAAAGAATGCCATGATATCGCTTCTCTTTATATGCACTGTAATCCGGTGTTCACAATTAGCCCGTGCAGTTGCAGTTACATAAAGCTATATGTGTTCATTTATCTGAGAGATTATATCAGTCATTTGGTTTCATTTAGAAAAGTACCGTTACTTGTGTATACATGTCTGTTATAAATAATAGCATGGAAAACGATGATAGATAGTGATACATAATTACAATTAAATTTTAACAAAAGACGCCTAAGTTTAGGAATACCATTGCTCCATTATTATGCGCTACACTGTAAGACTATGAACTAAATATCGACGATTTTTTTTTGGGGGGGGGGGGGTTATTGTAAATAAAATAATCACAGGTCATTCTATTCAGAATATCATAGCTAGTATTTGAATGTATTTCTATTTTCTGCTATTTTCGAAAATTACTAAAATCATGTCTATGAACATGATGAACATAAACAAATTTCTGATTTCTCCGGTTCAAATAAAACACAAACACAAATATGGGCCCTTAAAATATTTGAACACACAACACAGAAATTAACTTATTTTAATCAGCAAGTTGCCATGCTTCAAGTTTTCAGATGTCTGTGTAACCGTTCGGTTTTCCTCAGGTAAGTTTGCTGTGGAGTGGAGCTTACTCGAAGCGGATGAGAAGCCCCGAGGGAACGACGCTGTCTAGTGTACATACTACTTATATACACAGGATGTTGTAACCTGAGTGTATTACCTGTATGCGTTTTCCTATGACATTGTAAAACGAAGCCGTTTTTTTTTTTTTCATGTGTAGCTCATGAATTGAAATGCATGAAATAAAGAATGTTTTTGTTGCAGACAGAATCCTTTTTAAATTTTTTGTTTCAAATAAATATTTTCAATTATTCGACAATTTTAATATACTGTGTTTTTCTTAATCAAATTTTATAACAAAAATACATTTTATTTTACCACCAAAATCTGTCGTTGTAATCTGGCGACAAAAACGGAAGTAATTCAAATTACATGTCTTGTCCATATGCTAAATGAAAGAAGAAAGTGGATCATAAACAAGTCTCTCGATAAATAACAATTAAACTTACATGTAGACAAAATCCACAAATGGTCAATAAACTGATAAATCAGCGGTAGTTTTATTCGCTAGATTTAATAAATTGATATACAGATCAAAAAGGAGGAAAAACGATCATGCACGTGCCTTAATATTGTGATATTTTTCTTCTCTCTATCTCCTCTCTCTCTCTCTTTCAATCTTCTAACTGGTACAGATATAAACAGACCCGAAATAACATAGTATTGGATCATTATTTGATTTAATTAATATCAAATACTTCATTAATTTGTTTTAAAAGTTTTTTTTTTAACTTTTATTCTTTTTATACACTCTGTTTAAAAAAAGCAACAATAATTTGACACAAATTCCAAGGCTAATATCGCATCTGAAAATGATATCGATGAAATAATAATGAAACAATGAATCAAATGTGTTGTTGAATGGCTAGACAACAATGTGCACATCCAGCGAGCGTTACCCAAGGTATACTAAAAGACAGGTGTGAAACCCCCGGGGCATGTCGTTTCCTGCTCAGACACTGCTAATCCCTATACACAGGAAATGATCGCGGCTAATACTTAATACACAAAGAAACAAAATTTGTCAAAGAAAACAAAAATATATTTTTTTGCATTGAATATTTATTAATATAAACTATAATTTCGTCTGTGAAGTTTATCATTACACCTGCACATCCTATCTTATCTATTGAACACGAAAATCGAGAAATATTAAAATTAAAAAGAAAGACATTGTTTTAAAAAGTAATACATGTTAATATGAAGGTGAAAAACGATAGTTTTTCTTGATCTCTTGTATAAAGTTCACATGCTCAAAGTTAACTCTCGTCATCGAATGCTTTCCGGTCATTTGGCAATTTGAGAAAAATGCCTGCACATTTATATAAAAGAGGTAAATAAAATAAAGTAAAGTTTTCTTAATTTGGGAACAGAACATAAACGATGAGAAATAAAGAAAAATAAAACTTTTTCTTGATATCTTGGATAAAGAAAATTTAAGTTCACGTGCCCACTACACGTAACTACAAACAACACAATCCAAAACAAAAAGGGAAAATCAAAATTCCCTTTTTTTCACCCAACGTTTACAATCTGAAGTCATTTTGGTCTTAAAATCCTTATATGTGTCTCCACAAGTTCCCTTTTTGAAGATTTTTTTTAAGTATTTGAGGAACGTTCCTCTTTCTACACTTCAGATGCATTTGTTATGACCAGATTTTTGAGGAACGTTCCTCTTTCTACACTTCAGATGCATTTGTTATGACCAGTGATTTGAGGAACGTTCCTCTTAATACACTTCTGGTGCA